AAAAAGCAAAGTTTGAGATTATTTTATGTAGATCAACTTTGGTATTCAAAGTTTTCAAGATTACATATAAAATTTGGAGTAATTTTGAAATGATTCAAATCTTTAAATGTACCCCAAATTTGAATTTCAAAATGGAGGCAGAATTTGAAAATGTTTCTTAAACCAAAGTTGTAGTACTTGAAAAGTTGAGCAACTTTCATTTTTGGAGATTTTCAACTTCTTTAGAAAATTTGGGAGTAATTTGAATAATGGAAGCAGTGGCAGTTCTGTAATTATTTCAAAAAAATCAACTCCACCTCACTGCTTGCCGCTGGCGCCACGCGGAGGTCGCCGCCGATCGGGTTTCACCGCTTTCACGTGCAGTGACACGCCCAAACCTCCGTGGCGAGTTCGCCCGTGTGCTGTCATCACCGTGCGCCCTCCATCTTGCTATAAATAGGAGTACGCCGTCGTCAATCGGAATTTTCGCGTCGACTACTCGCCGCCGGTGTCTTACCTGCGCTCGCGCAATTCGTTCTCGACGTAGTGCCTAGGGCCAATTGCTTTGGCCAGAAGCTACGTCTCGTCTTCTTGCTCCTCCCAAGCCTGATCGTGTCGCTCCTGGAAGTCCAGCGCCACCACGTGACGTCGTCTTCCCCGAGTCCGGCCGGAGCTCCGCCATTCTCGGTTTCACGTGGTCCCGTCGATCCAGTGCGTCTCTGCCTTCACCGAGTCTACCTACGTGATCACGGTGAGCTCCTGATTGTGAAGACCATTTCGCTTTAGTCCCTACTGCACCGTCACCATGATTACGCTGTTCACCGACGTGCTCAGCCGCCATGCCCGGCGTGGAAGTGTCTCCTGTGCACCTTGTTCCTTCCTGATAGCTGGGTTCGGTTCGGGGAATGTAGTAGATCGTTTTGGTGAAGTCCGTCTCACCGGAGAGTCACCACCGGCGTGTTTTGTGGCCGGTCAGTGAGGGTAGCACCGCCGTGGTTGCTTGAGTCACTGACAGTGGGGTCAGCCTGTCAGTGCGAGTGAGGAAGAAGAACAGTGAAAATTTTTATTTTCTGAATTTGTGAATAGTTCTGAATCTTTGGAAATTTGTAGAAAAATAATCATAGCTCCAAAAATTCTAAAAATTTTTGTGTAGCTTCTGTACATGTTCTAGTATGATTTAAAAATTTTAAATTTGAAATTTGGATAAATTTTTAATGTTCAAAAATTCAGTCAATTAATTAATAAATGCAATTTCCATGATTTTTGTAGGCCACTGTATAACTCCAAAAATTATGAAATTTATTTTGGTACACTAATTTATCATGAGGATGCTTGTGTAAATTTTTGAGATCATTTGGAGCAAGTTCATTTTGAGCTTAATTCTAAATTAATTCAAAAATAAATAAAGGTAAACCCTAAGTGTAGGTTTAGGGTTTGATCTTGATTTGGGTCATGTAGTGTGACTAGTAGGGTCCCAAGATCCATTTGGTCAAGTCACATGTATGGTTCTTAATGGTAGGATTGCAAGTTGGTTTTGTTGGCTTGCAACTGTACCGTGAAATAAAATCATTTGCGGGTGTTTTTACATTTCATGTACCGTGAAAGCATCATGTTTACATTATCATCATGTTAAAGCATATGTTATCATTTCTTGTAGAACCCGAGAACGAAACGATTCTAGTTGAGCAAGTTCTGGAAGAATCCCCGGTTGTCGTAGGATTTGATAATTGTGGTACTAATCCGGAACCGGAAATCGTCATCGAAGGCAAGCCCCGGTTTATGCATTAAACCATTACCTTGTTTACTTTGAAAAGTTTATCACTTATGTTACTTATCGCATTAAGTTGTTTAATTCAAATGTTACCTAATTCTTTGCATTGCCTACCTTGTTAATTGTTTACCATCCTTGAAGATGATTTCATTTACAAAGGCGTAGAATTGCTTAGTGTGCTTTGTGGTAGGCTTTCAAAGTAAAAGTTTTGATACAATCAAAGATGGCATACTGGCCAAAGAAAGAAAGAAGATAGAATGAACTAGAGACTAGTCGGGTGACTTATCTTGAATGTTGAGTAATGTTGCCGACTATGTCGCTTAAAGGCCACTCATTGTGGATCTTACGAGCGAGACACTTTGTAGTAATCTTGGTCACATACTCGGTAAGCCTACTTGGCTAATCCGATACTAAAGGCGAATGCCCACGACTTTGGGAGTGGTGAGATGGCGGGATAGCGTGTACCCTCGTGGCTTGAATGTGGCGGATTTGAGGCGTTTGTGCTCTCGGGTGGCGTGGAGACGGCTTAGTATAGGAGGATCCCGTAGCGAGGTTGATATATGCAAGATTAAGTTCTACATATGTCGTGTGATAAGGAATACCCAGGTGGGACTTGAATCAATTGAATTGCCGGTGCTCATGGTATGGAGACTCGATTCATTATAGAAGCAATGTAGGACCTGGTGAACTACTAAAACATGAGAAAAAGAATGGAATGAGCAGGATTGGAACATGGGATATGAACACTTAGTTGGAGATATTGGACTAAAATACTTAGTGGTAAAACTTGAAACTAGGATCAAGAATAGTAAGCTTTTAGCAAAGAATTTTTGAATCTTTCTACATCCTTACCTTGACCCAACACTGCATCCCTAAGACCTTCGCCTTTTTGGTCGGGTCGGTCTTGTTGAGTACTTTTGTACTCGTGGTTTGTTAACCCTTGTTGCGGGTGAGTCGCATGCTTGAGCTTGTTTTGGTCCTCTTTGCATGTCGATGTATGAAGTCGATGATGATGAGGAATGATGAATGGCCTTTGGACAAGGCACTAGTTTGTGTGAAATAAATAATGTTAATGTAATATTATCTCGCTACTATGGTTGTATAACACTTATGGTATTATAAGTTTGAAAACAACTGGTTTGTAATTATGTTATCGTAAGACTTCCGCTATCATTTACTCTGGTATATATTTGAATAAACTGTTGTAATCTGCAATGACTGTGATTGGGATCCTGTTTGAAAAGATAATCGTGGATGATTCGGGTTTCCCGAGGACACCCGACAGACCTGTTGAGTTGTTGGGAACTCGTGTACGCTATTCGAGGTCTGTTAAGACATCGATAGGTGCACGTGGGCCCGATTTCTTAGGAGGTTCTGCCACAAGCGCCCCCTTTGTAAGCCTTCAGAGCACTTGAACCGACGAATACGAACTTGAATCCCTCTGAGACTAGACATAGGGCTCCAGCCTGAACCATAATTTCCCCGTGTCTCGAGTGCTTCCATCGGCTCCTCGAGCAGCGCCATGCTAAATTGACTAGTCGGTCCGCAAAACACCAACAGTCACCTATCCTAGTACCACTCTCGCCCAAGCATGCTTAACTTCGGAGTTGTGATGGGATCCGGTGCTTTAGTGCGGGTATGATTGCATCCAACATATTGTGCGTCCTCCATCCTTGTATGCCCGCACCATGGTGTCCAGCCCGCCCATGACTTGGGCGCGCCGGTTTCCCTTCCGCCTACCTGTAACTTGGACGGTGTCGCCTTATACTCACCATGGCCCGCTTGGTGTGACCCTTGTTTTCTTTCTTCCTTCCTTCTCCACGACCACCCCATGTGTCTAGGTCTCGGTTCATTCCCCGCGCCACACAATACTTGGTTCGACCGTGAATGCCACAGCAAGTAAACCGACGCGGTATGCTTGCCTGCACCGAACGAGTGCATCGAATGAGGAAAACGAAGAAACTATGACAAAGAGACGGCCAAAAACAAAAATTTAAAAAAAACAAATAAAAAGGAAATGCAACACGAGGACGGAGGTCACTCATTCTAGTACTAATCTCACCCAAGCAAGCCTAACTTCATCGTTCTGATGTGATCTGGTGCTTTGATATGGTATGGTTGCATCTGACGTACCAGGCGTCTTCCTTCCTCTTATGCTTGGGCCTTCGTGCCTGGCCCGTCCATAACTTGGGCGCGCCGGTTAATCCTCCTCCTTCCTCGTCACTTGGACGGTGCTGCCTTATACTCACCATGGCCCACTCGGTGTGACCCTTGTTTTCTTCCTTCCTTCGCCACAACCACTCTGTGTGACTAAGCCTCGATTCATTCCCCGCGCCGTACAAAGTGGGTTCGACCACTAATGCCATAGTACGTAAATAGACGCGGTACACTTGCCGGCACCAAACGAGTGCACAAACGAGGAAAAGAAAGAAACTATGATAAAGGAACGGCCAAAACAAAATTAAAAAAAAACAAACAAAAAGGGGATGCAACACGAGGACTTTCTAGTAGGTCATACATCCTAGTACTAATCTCGTCCAGGCCTGGTTAACTTTGGTGGTGTGATGTGATCCGGTGTTTTAGTGCTGGTATGATTGCATCCAACATACCAAGCGTCATTCTTCTTCTTATGCCCGCGTCTCCGTGTCTGTCACCAATCTTTTGCTACAACACAGGATTGGAGACTCAAGCCCCTTATTGGTGGATTTCTCATCCCTCACCAAAGATATGCAACACGGGATTTTCAAGGTCCAAAGAGCTCAAAACTAGACAGCGCACTCTCGCTACTCAGGCTAGAGCTTCCGTGTCTACTCGTTTTATATGCTCAAACCCATCTCACATAGACCTCTCTGTCCTGTTCTGGACAGGAAGTTCCTAGCTCTCATATGTGTAAAATGTTCTTTTTTTTTGGCGACCGGTGTGTAAAATGTTCTTAAATTAATACATGTTGGTCATTATAAAAAAGAATCCGGTATGAAAGAGTGATTATTTAAAGCCAGAAATTGTTGGTAGCTTGTATGGCCACGGTGCAAAGAACGAGTGCCGTCTCGAAAGTACACATCGCACATGATTAACACTAAAAGATGCTGATACTGTGATACCACAGCTTCCGAGCAAGGACACGGTACAGCTCACTCTTGGTTTCTGCATTAGCCAAAACAAAACTAAAAACGAAACGATAAAGTTCATCCCGAATACGGAGGACAGGTACTGGTAAAGTTAGCTACAGCAAACTATTTATCATGCGACCCTACTTCCTTGCGAAATATGAAAGCAACGATGCCTGCCCATCCAAAGCTGCTTTTACCGCTTTTTCCTTCTTGGTAGGCTGAGAGGGCTTCATGTCAGCTTCAACTTCAATATCCTTGATCTTTCTCTTGAATCCCAAATCACCTTGTTTTTTCATAGTAGCATCAGTCAGAGTCATAGTATCTTCATGCTTGATGCTCCACAGTTTCTGGAGAACTTGTGGTTCCAAGGTGACAGGTTCATCTTTTACAGTACTATTAGTAGTTTGCTTCTCTCGGGACTGTTGTTGGTTGACGTCCTCTGGTTGATTTTGTACTGATTCATCACATTCGGCTTTTGCTGCTTTGTAAGCAAGTGTTCCTGAAAGCTCCCGTGACATCTTCTCATGCTTCCCTGATTGGCCGTAGGCAGTCGATTTCTTGGCGAAGAATTTTGAAATAGGCTTATCAGTAGGTCCGATGTGTACCTGAAAATTTGACAGGATGTCAAAAGCAGGTAATAGCATATACCACTGGTTTATAAAATTCAAGCACTGTTCTCAAAGCCTAACAACTCAGAGGCAATGTACACTGTAGCAATGATAGCAGGACAAGTACAGAAAAACTTATATAGAACAGCATAATCTCAACTTAAATATTCAAACATAAGAATACCAACAGTTGTATTTTCAGGTGACAAATATAGTTACAAAACACAACCAGGAGTTTCAGCAATATCAGTTTCGAAGGGAGCATGCTCAACAGCATCAGGCGAACAGACAGACCCAGATTACAGCAGAACATGCCCTAGGGGCACGTACAGAAAGGCTGTCCAAGGAAAAGGGAAGGATACAGAGAAGGAAGCTGATAAACCAAATAGTTTATAAAATTTAGTGGAGAGCATTGACAATTCAGTACCAGTGATATGCTATAACTGTGGTGATGCTGGTCACTTAGAGCATCTCCAACAGTTCCCTAAACATCCTCTTAATCCTTGTTTTTTAGAAAGATGGGAAAAAACCCTCTCCAACAACTTCATGCTTCTGGGCTTAGAACTAATCTAGCTAAGAGCTCAGTTTCCCCTATTCACTGTACTGATGAGGAATTGGCTCTCACGGCAGACATCCTCTCATGTTCTATAAAGTTTTTTCCCTACATGTATCTTGGCCTCCCGCTCTCAATTGGAAAACCAACTAAAGAGGTGCTGTTACCTTTAGTGGATAAAGTGGCAGATTGTCTCCCTGGATGGAAGGCTTCTCTTATGAACAGAGCTGGGCGGCTAGTCATGGTGAAGGTTGTACTGACTGCTGTCCCAATATACCTTTTAACTACCCTGGACCTTCCAAAATGTGTGATTAAGGCTATTGACAAAAAACGGCGAGGCTTCCTTTGGAAGGGTCACCAGCAAGCCAATGGTGGCAATTGCCTAGTAGCTTGGGAAAAGGTGCAAAGACCACTTGAGTATGGAGGTCTTGGGATTCATAATCTTGAACTTCTGGGATGTGCACTGAAGATTCAGTGGCTGTGGGCGCAAAAGACAGATGCTGAAAGGCCTTGGGCCGGCCTTCCTATCTCTGTTCCTCATAAAGCCGAGGCTCTCTTCAATGTTGCAGTCGATGCCATAGTAGGAAATGGAGAGGAGATATTGTTCTGGAAAGATAGATGGCTGGGGGGGCATACCATGGCTGAAATAGCTCCTAACCTGTTCAAGGCAGTCCCAAATCGAACAGCCAAGAGAAGGACGGTGGCGCAAGCCTTGCATCATAATAGTTGGGTTCAGGATATTAAAGGAGCACGTACAGTTGTGGTCATCCTTGAGTACCTTCGTATTTGGGACATTGTGGATGGATTTATTTTGCATCCGGAGATTCCAGATCAATATAGATGGAAATTAACTCAGGATGGTTCCTACACCAGTAAATCAGCTTATGCAGCCTTCTTTGAGGGAACCATCAAGTTTGGGTCTTGGAGAAGGATCTGGAAAACTTGGGCTCCTCCGCGCTGCAAGTTCTTCATCTGGTTGGTATTTCACAACCGGGTCTGGATAGCCGATAGACTTGCAAGGAGGAATCTGCCCCATCCCGAGGCTTGCCCATTATGTGATCAAGAGGATGAAACAATAAACCATTTGCTAGTGGGCTGTGTTTTTGCCCGGCAAGTTTGGGCCCTGGTTTTGCATCAGTTGGGAATGCTACAGTTGGCACCACAGCCTACTGTGATTCGTTTCTCAGGGTGGTGGAAGAGAACAACTGCGGCTATCCCTAAGGATTTGCGTAAAGGCCTCAACTCCTTGATAATTTTGGTGGCTTGGGAGATTTGGAAGCATCGCAATTCTTGTGTCTTTGATAATAAGAGGCCAAGTGTTCAGGAAGTCCTTAGGGCTATTAGCTCGGAGGGTGGGCTCTGGTGCTCGGCCGGGGCCTCCAAACTCTAGGAGCTGGTTTTAAGGTTGATGCCTTCTGGAGCTTAATGCTTGGAGAAGTTTGGTCGTCCTTTTCCTTTTTGTGTGGCGAGTGTGTAACCTAGTTCTGGGGAGTGGGGTGTGTGTTTTTCTCTACCTTAATGAAATGACGCGCAGTTCTCCTGCGCTGTTCGAGAAAAAAAAATATCTTCTAATATTTACTCCTAATCTTTTAGGACTTGGGAAATTCCTACCCCTTCCGCATAACTTTACGTGGACCAAGCCACGCTCGGAGACGCTCGGAGCCTGACGGAAGTCGTACCGCTCCGTGCCGGCGCTGTAGCGCCTCGACGAGCCTCCGTCTACCGCTCCGAGGACCCCTCCGTGCCGGCGTCCGAGCTCACCGAGACGTACTGGAAGTACTACGGTGCCATCGGGGCCGCGCTCGCGTGGGCGTGGCTCGCGGCGGTGGCCTGGAGGAAGGACGGCGGCAAGGTGGTCATGCGGACCGCCGTGCACTGCCTCACGGCCTACCTCGCCGTCGTCAGCGTCCTGTGCTTGTGGGGGAAGCACTTCTTCTGGGGCGTCGCCCTGGCCGTCGGCGCCAGCCTGCACTTACTCTACGTCATGTCTGTGCTCGATAGGTACAGCTCACAACAACACTATGTTCTGAATTTGTCTGTAAAAATTGCCTATTCCATCTCATTTCAGACGAATTTGGACTCTAGTGAATGTGGGTCTGATGCCTGACACCGAGTAGGAGAGCGAGTTTCTGCAAATAACATGCAAATTCGAAGAATATCCACTCGCAATGCCTTAACCACCGGCCGCGCTCGTTGCTGCCCGCGCTGCATTGCGGCGACTCCGGGGGCAGCTCGTACGCGTCCGTGAGGCGCGCCTCGAGCTGGCTGCAGGTGTTTCCCAGCACCAGCACGACAGGGTACACGGCGGCGCTGGGACTGGGAGGCGGCGGCGGCGGCGTGCCGCAGCGGAAGAGTAGGAGCGAAGGGAGGAAGTGCAGCAGCAGGCGGTGGCGACGTGGCTACGCTCGGCGACAAAGAGGTTCGCGTGGAAAAAAAAGACTGCAGGAAAAAAAACGTCAAATGGAACCAGCATTTTTGATTTTTTAGAAGTTAAATATTAGGAACTATTGGAGATGAACTTTTTTTCTCCTAAAACCTTTTTATGAGTTGGTAAACAGACTTTTTAGGAGGAATATTTAGAGAACTCTTCGAGATGCTCTTAGGGAGTGTTTGCTAGGGTGGCTTACTCCTTGTCCAGGCTTAGATAATGCAACTTTTGTCTGTTTGGATGCCTGACTAGCTTCTAAGCCAGGCTTCAACCAAAAAAACGTCGGCGCCTGCATTGCTGGAAATGCTCAGGGTCCGCGTTTCCACAAAGCTAGGCCTGTATAAGCACAGTGGCCCACATGTCAAGATTCGGCTCACCTCCTTGTGCTCCTCCGCCAAGCGTTGTTGTGTCTTCTTCATCTCCGTTCTTCTCTGCCACAAGTTGCCGACTACTGGATGGCTGGCCTGGCCCCGGCAGCATGCCAATGAGGACGCCGCCATGACATGCATCGCCGCACTCCACACGGCCCATCTACCTTGCGTCAAACTCTCATGTGAACAACAAGAGCAAGCACCAACTTCCCCCCGATTTTACCTATTCTCCACAAATCAATCATGCTAGTACAGAAACTGAGCCCACGTGACACCCAGTCTTGCTTCCAGTCATCCGAATCAAGCTCGTATGCAGTGAATTCAAGCTTGAGGGCTGCAGCTGTATATCTCGATGGAGGGAGCGCATTAGCTGTCGACCGCGACGAGGTGAGGTGGGATCCTCGACAGCCGGAGCGCGTGTAGCTGATGCGGGAGGTTGGTGTTGCAGCTGAGCTGGACGCCATGCTCTACTCGGCTATGCTGCTGGACGGCATGGCGGGCATGGTAGTGGCGGTTGGTAGGGGTAATAAGTCCACCTGCATCCAGGGCAAGGTTCTTCTACCACCATAGCCAGGCAACCAATCATCTGATTTGCTACACAGGCTACTTATACAAGCAAACCCCTGGCTTAAAAATAAAGCCTGGCTAGCCTAGCCCATGTAACCAAACACAACCTTGGTTGCAAGAGGGAGAAAATTTGTTTCTGCTGTCACAAGCATGATCATATTGCTGAAAATTGTCCAGAGTGGCTGAAACCTTTCCTGGGAGCCCAGTATTTTGTCAAGAGTCACTGGACACCCTAGAGAACTCGAGTTTTCACTATTGAGGAAGGTATTCTGAGTCAGGAGTGTTAGACAGATAAGCTTGGCCTGCTTTAGGTGCATAGGCCTTAAGCCCATTACGGTTTCTATAGATTGATTTCTCATAATAGGCAAGGATATCTGATTGCGGTCATACTTCTATAAACCCTAGGTCACCCTTGCCTACATATGTACATGTATACCATGGCCTTATAATCAATCTGTTGTTTTCCCATGCAATTCCATGGCTTTCATGGTATCACGAATCTAGGTTCCTCTTCTGCTGCCCTTACGCACGCCCTTGTGGCTGCGCTCTGTTAATGTGTGAGGAGCTTGCTGCCCTCGATCGTCGAGGGACTTGGGATCTTGTTCCATTACCATCACATGCAGTGCCAATAACATCTAAGTGGGTGTTCAAAATTAAGAGAAAAATCTGATGGTTCTATAGAGAGATATAAAAATAGACTTGTTGCTAGAGGTTTTCAGCAGGCTCAAGGACGTGATTATGATGAGACATTTGCACCCGTTGCTCATATGACTACCGTTCGTACTCTGATTACAGTGGCTGCCACTTCAAATTGGGCTACCTCTCAGATGGATGTTAAGAATGCTTTTCTTCATGGTGACTTGAATGAAGAAGTTTACATGCAGCCAACCCTAGGTGTTGATGCTCCATTAGGATATGTTTGTCGTCTTCGTCGTGCCTTATATGGTCTTTAACAGGCTCCTCGTGCGTAGTTTGAGAGATTTGTTTCTGAGATACGGGCTGCTGGTTTTTCACCTAGTACTCATGATCCTACTCTATTTATTCACCTCTCTCCACGTGGGCGCACTTTGCTCCTATA